GCGTAATTCAAAAATAGCATAAGCTTACACAAGAATTAACCAATAGTTGATTTTTACGACTAAGATTATACTTTTTTATACTTACAGGTGGACTTAGAGGTGAGAAATGAGTCTCAAATTTTCGTTTGATCGCGGGAAGGACATTATTTTGTGATAGGTTTATCATCATAGACTAGCAGTGAATGCAGATATTCGTGTTCATTAATTTAAAATCTTTATTCCATCTATGATTTTGTTGTATTGTTGTTGGCTTTTTTCACAACTGAGATTTAACTATTGTATGTCGTATCCTATTTAATGAAGAGGCCGAGTTGCAATTTGAAATTTATGCTTTCTAAAATTTTTCATCGAATTTATGACTAGTTTTAATTACTGAGTTTGACATTAAATATTTAACTCAGTCAAAGCACATGGAAGAACTGAATAGTGGTGGTGTCAGGTAGTTTTGTACGGTGAAATCGGGGCAGTCACGCGATAGCAAAAATCTATAATGGTTGCAGAAATTACACATAAAAGAGTACAGAATCTTGAGCGTGAAGCGCACGTGATTAGAGTAGTTATGAAATTTAGGCAGAAAGAAAGCCACACGAGTTTGCAGTCTTGTCTCTGTCCTTTTTGTTTCAAAAATGAAGATTTTTTCTTCTTCTTTTCAACAAAAAATCATGAGTTACCCATGCACCACGTTCACGTTAAAGTTTCTTCTCACACATCAAATCTCAATTAATACTTCGTACTTTTAGATCGTCACATTTCCAAGTTTCGTTTTACCATGCAATTTTTAGCACTCCTTATATTAATAGATTAGGGGAAAAGAACGGCTCAGTGTATAAATAATTTCACATTCCAAGGACTCTAGAAGCATAATATAAATAGTCTATCCTAATATAAGTATCAATGATTACTAACACTGTTAAAATATGTGATATATAGGTCACACAAGACATAACTTTGCTATCACTTCAAGGTTTATATAAATTTAGACTAGAATTGAAAAGAATTTAACCTTGAATTTAGATTAGAATTGAAAAAAATTCTTATCCTTAATCATTATTACCAATTGGCAATTTAACTCACCATTTCAGTTTATGATCACTAAAAGATTCACTAATAGATTTCGAAATGTTCGTACTATATATTTACTTTTGACTTGGTCAATATACCTTGTTCAAATTACAATGTCACGAATTTGAATAGCATATGCCGACTATTCTAACTCAATTGAGTCTCTCTTTTGTTTTGTTTTTTTCATTTTGTTTTTTTGCTGTGAAAAGGGTATACTATATATGCTTGATGTATGAACTTCTTATACGATTGAAAAAGAAGGCACATCGGAGAAGGAAAAATATAGAACGGGATGATCTGAAAAAACCATTTATTCCTAAACCAAAAGATCCCAATGTTTTCTTCCACATTAATTAGTAGTACATTATTCTTTTCATATTTTATGAGAAGTAGTCTTTCATTGGAAAACATATGGGACCGCCAATTTTATTGTTAATTAATAATAATAATAATAATAATAATAATAATAATAATAATAATAATAATAATAATAATAATAATAATATTCAGTAGAACTTAAACTCATATTTAAGCTTTGTATTTAAAAGATTGAAAAATATTTTTGGGCAACCGAACAAAAGTAGGAAAAGTATTTTGCACCTGAGAGTATAGACGTAAAATCAGAATCACAAGTTCTTAGTCTCACCCTTCTAGTATGAAAATTTCCTTGCAAAAATATTAACATGATTTTGCTATCCAAGGTTCCTTATAATTCCAATTCGAAAAGAAGGAAAGTGGATCATAAGGCAACAATTTCTACAATAAAGATACGTATAGAGCCGCCCCTTTTGAAAAAGCCAAATTTACTACTATACAACTAACATTATCACATACGACATGTTATTTTACATGTAATAATACATGTGTGAGATTTATCAGTAATTGTAATTAAGCAAAATGAATTCCTAGTAATCAACATAAAGCATCAGTTGCTTTACTAATAAGTTGGAATGATTATATTCTGCACCTTTGCTAATTAACCAAAAAAATTATAATTGTTCTAACTAGTATATGTGCCTCGCTAGAAAATAATTTTTTGGATATTTGAATATTTTTGGGTTCAATCGTTTTTTTCCTCATGAATAAATGGAATCTTAACTTAAACGGAAAGCAGCACGAAGCAATGGGAAGGAGAAACTAAGCAAAAAATAGAACCTTTTGGGGGACCATGCACCTCAAAATTAATCCTTTTTTTCGTCTTAATCTCCCAACAACACTATTACAATTCCTACCACCTTTATCCATATTTACAAAATTTAAATAATTTACTCATTATTGCAATAACAAATTTTCAACACTCACTTCAAAAAAACAAAAAAAAAAAAAAAAAAAAAAAAAAAAAAAAAAAAAAAAAAAAAAAAAAAAAAGATCGACCCTACGGGGGGCTACGCCTATAAAATGAGGCTCCTTTCGTACATCCATTCCATTCATTGAGTCCTCATTTCACTATACCAATTCAAACTTCAATTCAGAAATTCTAAAGAAACTGTCAATTATTATCTCCGGCGGAGTGTGTGTTCCCAGTAGTGTATCAGTACGTGTTTCTATGTACATGAATTCTGAATCTACTTCCTTATGCATATTTTTGCATACGTATACAATCTTCTTCCATTTACATTTTCTTTTCAAATTCCCTTCCTTATTATTTTCCATTTTCCCTCCCAATTCTGTAACTGTTCACTGGAAGCCTAGTGGATTTTTCGTTTTCCCAGAAAAATTATTCAGACTGTTCGTTTTTCTCTTGCATTTCACGTGAATTTTAAAAACGGTTTTAGTTAAAAGAGTTCCGGAGTATTAAAATGGACAACGAATTAATGTTTGATAACGTGAAATTTGAGAAAGCGAAAGCAATTGCTAGGTACAATCGGTTTCAGGATATGATGAAGATGCTGCAAATTTTCGAAGTGGTTGTGGCGGTTATGTTGATTTCATGGTCCTGGACTCGTGTTCCGGCGGCCGTTAAACTCTCCGGCGAGTTTTTGGTACAAGTCTCGGCTTATCTGTTTAAGCCTCACGTCGTTTTTCTCATCGGCAACGGTATTATCGTTGCAATCGTCGTGCTCTGCCGTCAAACTGACGCCGGAAGCAACGAGTCTGTTACGGATGATATCAACAGCGAAGAAATTGTCCATAACGAAGTTCAACACCCGATCGTCACTGCTACATACGGCGGCGATGTGCCGATTTTATCCTCTGATTCGCGGCCGGTGACGTCGGAGCCTAGTGTTGCAACGACGGAAGATGAACAGATCGTGTCCTCCGAGAAGGTTCCAGTGATGCAATGTAACGACGTGGCTACAGCAATTGACTCAGCAACAAAGCAGATACAGAAGTTTAAAAGGAGTCAATCGGAGAAATTGAAGCGAGAAATAGCGACGGCGAGTTCACAGCGAGAGCTCCGGCGTTCGGAAACAGATATGCGGCGGTTAGTCGTCCGTACCGGCGATAGGAAATCAACGGTACCAGTGGAAGCCGTCGACACACTGAGTAACGAAGAATTTCGGCTTACAATTGAAGCTTTTATTAAGAAGAATCAAACCTTCTTTGAAAAACAGAGGTTAGCTGAAGCAGAGCCAGAAAAGTATGAACGAATCGGTATCAAGGCCTTTTGAATTGTCTTGCATTTAACTGAATCGTAAGAAATCGGAGTTTAAGGAGTAATAGTTACTGGATTACTACTACTTAATTTTACCATATCGCAAAGGTGAATGGGTTTTACTGTTAATTACGGCGTACCTATTACTGAGATGTATTAATGTACAGTGCTACTCTGCCTATTCCCTGTTTTATTTGGAATTAGGAAGCCAAGTTTACTTAAATGTAGTACGGTATATGATGTTCATTTTATATGCAATTGTTCTTATGAATAATAGTAACCTTTTGTTATTAAGCTTAAATTGTTGTAAGAGCATTTATGATTACAAGATTTATAGTTTCTCATTGTAATATTAGTAGCACAACTAAGACAACTCAACAGCAATGAGTGCTAGATAAATCATTCTCTTTTAATTTATTTCATTAATGCTTTTTGTTAACTATTTTTTTGTACTTTCTTTCTTTTTATCATGCGATAGGTTAGCGAAGCCTGAATATAACGATATTCATATTACAAATTTTACTAGAACCGTTTGTTTTTTTATTGGAAGCTTGCGATTTAATTTTTGACGACAAGTAGGGGTGGATTGTGTTGGAGCTACGTGATCTCGCTATAACGTTCTTTTTTACATACATTTTTGGTGAAAACTTCAATCCCGAAAAGCATTAAGAAAACATGGCCAAGTACTTATTACTTCTTAGATTGTAATTACTTAGTTGTTCGGAACTCATAAACCATTTCGGCCCGAGGGTCGGAATTTCTTCGAATTTATTCTTGAGGTCTTGAAAAGGGTGTGTGCTAGTTTTATTTTAGTTTATTTTTTCCTCAATTGGAAGGAGGAGAATGTCTTGGAGAGAAGAAAGGAAAGATTTGAACCAATCTGTCCTTTTATTTTCCTAGTGGAAAATACTTTTGTTCGAGTGATCACTGAAAGTAGAAACTTTGACTTAAGGTACAAACAACATATTTATAGTGTAACTAGTGTCTTTTTCTTTTTCTTTTCATTTTCTTCCTGCTTGCCTAGAGAATGCCTAGTCGTTGCATATTAGTAGTAAATTAGGGCTTTGCATAATTTGGTAAATATCGAATTATCGTACCGAAATCGAAAATTTTGGTATTCGATATGATATTTGGTTTATGTTTTAAAAAGAAATTTGTATTAGGTATGGAATTTGATATTTTAAAATAAAATACCGATACTGTACCGAATTATATATTATATTACACAATACACATTTTATTAATTATAACATAAGTATAAGAAATCTAAAATTTTACATTCCTTTATTCTCTAAGTCCATCAATTAACTTTAAGCAAGTAACAAGACAGTTCTCTAAGTTTTCTCTCTCTATGTTGGTATATGTTGGTTTTTGACAAAATTTTTGTCAACAAACGTTTTTAGTTTTGTACTTTTGAGTATTTAATTAAGAATATTACCGTCTATGACTCTATGCACTAGTTAGTATTCAAACCGCATAAACCGAACTTACCGAACCGAATAAATCGAAACCGAAAGGAGAAAAATCGAACCATGCCGAATTTAATTTGGTACGGTATTGGTATAACATTTTACGAAATCGAATACCGAATATACCGAACAGAAATGTCTAAATACCGTACCGTACCGACCGACGAACACCCCTGTAGTAAACTATGTTTATATTTTCTGATTAATTATTTTGGTATACATTGTGCTAAGTTAAGGAAATTGTTCTTCTATTTCCTTCGCCGGTGCATTATGTGTGTCTTGAATCTGTAGGTATGAGACTAGATTCAAAGAATTTTAATTAAGTTATTTGGTGATGTATTATAGCTAGAAAAAATTGAAAAATTGTCAAGTATTTTTTAGGGTCCTGCTGGTTTAGAACATATGAATTGTCATGTACCATGATACTATACTATTTTTTTATTATCCCCATAAATAATGGCTTTAAGTTTATTAAAGAAACTAAATTTATGACCCCTTGATGTTTGAATATATTAATGTAACCATATCACATTCAAGTTTATATTTTCAATATCAACTATCTATTGGAATAATGCAACTTATTTCACAGATCACACGTCTAAACATTTATCATTAGATATAACATTTCTTCTATGAATTAAGATGCTTAACAATCTAAAAAATTGAAACACCTACCGCAATCCGGTGAACAAAGTATTCCGCATTTATGCAGGGTCCAGGGAATGACCGGACCCTTAGGGGTGTGATGTAGACAACATTTCTTAAAGCTCGAACTCGTGACGTATAAATAAGACGGAAGCAACTTTATTGATGGTCCAAGGCTCTTCTTAAAAAAAAAAAAAAAAATATTGAAACACCTCCGTGGCTAAAATGATATATACATTAAATATCTTCTTTTTGCTAAGTCGTTTCGTCAATCAAATATGCATATGAATCTTGTCTGATAGAAAGTTTGTTATTCCAAGGAAAAAGGAGATAGAAATCCATAGATATTTCTTCACTTATTACGCTATCATAGCAATATTTTGTATTGATGAATATATCAAGTTAGGGTTTTAATTGAATGCAAAATGACTGAAAAACAATCACAATATCCGAAATCAGTGGCTTTCAACAACCCACCAAAGCATTACTCTAACCTCCAAAGTAAGAAGTAATAATTACCTTCAAAAAGCAGGTAATTTTCTATTGGAAAAGTCATCTTTTTCTCTACTTTAGGCTAATAATTAGTTACTAATAATTTGAACAATTAGTGACATTATCTCTGCTATAAATAAACTCACGGCCATCATAATTACCTATCTATAGGGGGAAGCATTATTAGTGGGCATTTTGTGGAAAATTCATCCTCTTTTTTGACATTTTAGCTCAAGCAGTCTAACGTGTCTTCACCCTATCAATCTCTTAAGGATACTGCAACTTTTAACTAAATTATTTGATCTTACAAAAACCTTTCCTTAAAATAGAACTAACAAAGTAACAATAGTACTTCGTGGTATATTGGCACCGTTATTTACTTCTTTTTACCCTAATTTAGTGAATATATGATACATGTTTTCACATATTATTTTTATTACTAAATTGTAGTTAATTGATATATATTATTATGTTAATTTATAATTTAATTATAATAAATTAGTATGATTTGATATAAATATCGAATACCGGAAAGTTTTACCTTAATTTCATCTATCTTAAAAAAGAAAATAGCACTATCACAATTTAGGGAGTCGGAGTTCTTTCTATAACTACATTTTTTCAATTAATTTCTAAATACTTTTAACTTTAGAAAATCATTAGTTACGAATACATCTTATTTAGTTCCCAGAGATGCAAAACATATTTCAAAACAGTAAGAAGAATTCTATATCCAGATTCACAAAAAAAATAGATGTATTAACCCTTTGTTTTGGCAGGGGGGGAAAGTAATGAAAAAGAAAATTAATGAACATGACTTTAAATGTAAGATCCACTCTAAATTGTTGAAAATTAAATTAAATTTACGTCATTAATTTGCTGAAGATCTATTGGAGTCCGTATGTTAGTTAGCTTGAATGTAACCATAGGTGGGTTAGTGAAGTAACCACAGTTAGGTGGAGTTAGTGGAGTTGTTAGTTAGTTATGCCAGATGGCTTAATTAAGAGGGGAATTGTTGTATATATAGGACAAGTGTACACATTTTTTCAATATAGAAAATATACAACCGACTTTCTCCTTCTTCATTCTTCACAAAGCTTCCTCCATAGCTGAGCTCAAAGTCTGGACATCAAGCTCAGATTCAGGAAAATAACATGGTATCAGAGCTGTAACGACTGGATGATACGCTCGCTGTGTAATTCCACATATCTCAGATTTATTCTCTCCTCTTTTAAGGCTGATTCTCTTTTTTTTTTTTGCCGTTCAACAATGGGAGAAGAGAAAGAAGAAAAAATTGATCACACTCATCCACTCTTCATACATCTTTCAGACACTCCTGGCTCGATTTTGATTCCGGTGAAGCTCAAAGAATCTGAAAATTACGGTCTTTGGCGCAGAACGATGCGAATTGCCCTTCAAGCTAAGAGAAAATTAGAGTTTGTGACCGGCACTTGCACGAAGGATCAATTTAAGGCAGAATTGCATGAAGATTGGGAAACTTGCAATGCGATTGTCTTATCTTGGATCATGAACACAGTGTCGTCAGACCTTCTTAGCGGGATTGTTTATGTCTTCAGTGTATATCGAGTCATACCACTTGAAAATCATGTCGTTTCTCGCCACATTCTTACCGAGAAACGAGGGGACTATCTGTATACGGTCAAAACCGATTTCGACCTTCGTATGATTAGTCAAGATTGGAACATAATGAATCAAATGTCATCTTCATAATATCGGATATGATATCTGAAACCAGGTTACCAAGCTCAAGTTTCGGGGACCAATTAAGTACCGAACTCGAAGTCAATACCGAGCTCGATTTCAAATCAAACTTTGATGTGAGGCGGTGTTATCGAGCTTAAAAGCCAGAGACCAACCAATACCGAGCCAAAGTCAATACCGGGCCCCAAGCCAATATCGAGCTCTAAACCTGAAAATCGACCAATACCAAGTCCGATCAAGATCGAGCCAAGAGCCATTACAGCCGCACTAAGGGAGTGAATCTCGGCGGAAATTAGGAAAAAACTAATCTATCATGGGATCCCCACTATGTATTTTTAATTATATCTAAAGTAGGATCACTCCACTATAAGAGGGATAGTTATACATACACTCTTATATTCAGATATTACTATTGATAAAGAAATACAGTAAAGATTATCCTCTTGTGAGCTTTATACATTGATTCATCTTGCTAGTTCATAAAATCGCTTTCTAATTCAATATTGGTTCGTATTTCATTCTTTACAAGTAAATATTCGATATATTTCTACTTGCTTTCCGATTTGTGCCACGTTGTACCGCGTATCTTTAGAATTACGTATGAATTCAACTCTATCCATTTTTCGGCTAAACACAAATGTATAATTAAGCTGGAAATCTAGGAGGTATACATATAGTCATATACATATAATGGTCACGATCAATGGTCAGAGGCGGACCTACACCAGTCCTTGAGGGGTCACGTAAACCCGTTAACTTCGGCAAAAATTCTGTATATATATTCTATGTATAGCTGTATATACTTTGGGGACCCCTTAAATATTTTTATTGGCCCCCTCATTAACGAAATTACGCCTGGAGCAATGGTCCGCCTCTGAGCATAAGCTCTGCTTCTTGTCATACGACGCGGGTTCGAAACCCGCCTTTTACTTTTCTTTTTTAAGCTTCTTTTACTTCTTATAACTGGAATTAT